TTTATTCTTTTAACAAGAGTTGTGCTTGTTTTCATAAACATGCAGTCTTGTTTGTGTGAGTGTGTATGTTTGTGTGTGTATGACTGTTTATTGTGGTGTGAAGAACCAGAACACAGGCAGATGGTTCCAGGATGCACTCGGCGAATGTTTGCCGCTTATTTTAAGCAGCTGCTGCACTCTGTGTCACATGTAGAAATCACAGCTTTGCGTGTGACAGGATGCAGGGTCACACCGGGGCTTTTCACTCCTCTGAACCTATTTTTATGTGACCTGACAGCATTTTGATCCCCATGTCCCGCTTCAGCGAGAGACGAGCTCTAATCGGATCTAATCTAGCATCTTGATTGTCTGAGGTCCCAAATCTGACCCTTTACAATAATAATAAAAAAGTCCACTGATGTACTTACTTATTAGCTGCTCGTCAGTGGAGAATGTAGACAAGTGTAATCCTTTAAGCTGCCGGAACTCATTTTATGTCATGAACGGAAAGGATGGACATTTTATTAAATTAAATTCAGTATTTTTTTTATTTTGTTTAGGACAAATAATTTAGAAAAAATGTCAATAAGTTTTATGTTTCGTCTGTTAGTATCATGAACAAATTAATACAAATTCAAATGAATATCCAAATCTTTGGATGATAGAATATTTATAGCCAAAAGGCAAAGATGGACAATAATGTTTTTGCGTGCATGTGCATGCATTAGTGTGTCTCTGTTAGCAAAACATCTCAACAATACATAACAGTACAGTACAGTACAGTACAGTACAGTACAGTACAGTACAGTACAGTACAGTACAGTACAGTACAGTACAGTACAGTACAGTACAGTACAGTACAGTACAGTACAGTACAGTACAGTACAGTACAGTACAGTGATTTGAATATATTAATCAACAGACTGAGAAGCTGTAAATCACTCTGGGTCTTCAATTAAGAAAGCTTTTCCAACCACAGACCTGTTAAAAAAGTCATCAAGTAGTGAAAGAAGAGGCAGTATTAGAGATTACTGACAGTATTACATAAGCTTCACCCCCTCCAAACAAAGCTTCTGTAAATACAATATGACACTTTGAATGAACAACAGGACAAATCCTCCCATACACATTAAAATGTGTGAATACATCAGCAAGAACAATGTTCAATGATTCAGGTATGAGTTTGGGAACAACAGTCCGAGAAGCTGCCCCCCTGGTGCCGTGACGTCTCTGCAGGGCTGCTGACGTCAGAGCCACAGAGAGCAGGGYTGGATCAGCACTCTCTCCGCTGCCAAATGGATGTGATGTTTCCGAACAGAGCTTGAATTAACACAGCCTCTGCTGTTTGCTGTGAAGAAGATTCATTTATTCCCACAAAGAGCATCGGAGAAAAACATTAAGTCTTATGTAGGGTTCAGAATCTGAGGGGGAAATCCAGTTTTCTTATTAAAAATGTAGTTTTTCCATTTTGCTCATAGATTAGCAGTATTTTATGTGTAAAACTATGCTTATACTTGTAATATCAGGTGTAGTATTTATATGAAATAAAAAATTTGCATTAAGACAAGCAAAATACAAATGGTTTAAAGTTTGCTCTTTCTTTTTCAACATGTAAAATCAGGGAACAATATGTTTCGAGTCCCTTCGACTGTCCTTTTTACAACCTTTAAATATTTTTTGGTATTTATTGACTAAGTTAGACTTTTATCTTACCAAATCGAGTACTTTAGTCTAAGGCAAGCTGCTAACCTACATGTTTTATTTAATAAAGTAGCAATTTTAACAAACAAAAAACGAGTTCAAATTGTAACAATTGTTTTTGTGTGTTGGGAAATTAAGAATTAGGCTACTTTCTACACTTAGTGAGGTTTTTCTGCATTGCTTTATTTGGGTTGGTATTTAAACTACAAGATTAGCTTAAGCAGTACAAACCCACTTCATTTGGAAATTACAGTGGCTTACTCTGGACTCATTACATCGCTCTCATGTTAGAGGTAATGAGTCCTTTTACACACACAAACTTACACAGACACACACACATAGATACACACACACACACACACACACACACACACACACATACACAAAATAGTTCAGGCACAAAATAATTATTGCACTGGAAATGATCAACTATGATTTAGCTGGATCTGTGTATGCATGTGGTCTAAATTCATCTGTAAGCAAAATATCTCCTGAACTACAGGACAAATTTGAACGAAACTCTTAATTACTGGATGTACGTCTACAACTGATGCACTTTCAGTGACTTGTATCAAGATTGCTACCACAGTTAATAAACCTTAGCAAGCACAAAAGTGACAACTCAGTTAATTTTACAGATATTGAGCTAAATTTCGGTGTGGTGGTAGCTGAGAGTCATCCTCATCACATACTCTGCACTGAACTGACTGAACAGGATCTTTGTTTAAAATGTTGATTTGCAAGCWGGTGGGAAATATATCTTTCTTCATGGAATGCTAGCTTCATTATTCATCTGTTTATGTAAAAACAGATTAAATTATGAGCATTTCTTTCAGTTGTCTTTTGCAACTCTTTTTGGGGTCCGGTCCGATCCACCTCTCATTCAAACAATATTATCTGAAGTGACATCTGATTACTCGATTCAAGCATTTTTTTAATGACAACTAATGTATAGGATACAGCATAAACTGGAACTCTGACATCTTTAAGAACACTTGAAAACAAYTTGTGTGACTGTAAGTGCTCTCTGGTGAAAGTCTCTGTGCACTGGATGAACCCAGAGCATCAGCRTTGGTATGCAAGCTCAGTGTGTGTTTTGTTTAGGAAGTTTGTAGTATGCACATAAAAATTTAAACTTGGTGAGCAAACTATTTTTTTTAGGATTTTAAATAAATAACTAATAAAAAGTCTTTGTGGGTATRACTTAGTGTATTCAGTTTTTCTTGTAGGAATGCTGATGAAATTCTTGTGTGTAATWATATTTGCAGAAAAATAATCAAAAAAGTGAATTACAAAATCTATATCGTTAAAAACATCGCAGTGTTGGATTTAGTGTTGTGTATATACATTTCATGCAGAAATCCCTCACATTGTTACTCCTTTTTTTCTTCTACATGTTTGTTTCAAACTCCACAAAACCTCTTTAGAAGCACAAGGTTTTGACCAAAAGAGAGGGTTTTTCTCTCCGTTGTCATGTATTTCCTTCCCTGTTGAACATAATGATTGTAAAAGGCACAACTCAGGCCAATCATGTCTTCTGTTTCGAGGTCCACACAGCTCAAGGCCATTGAGGAGGTACCCCTTGTAGCTGGACAGCCCATCGTGTGTTGTCCGTCAATGGCTACTCCAACCTCTTGGTGATTTGTTGACTATGTGAGTGGCAGCGCGGTTCTGTGCGGTGATTTGTCCCGTGAGTCTGGCCCTGCCTCTGCCATCGCTGGCGTCAGCAGCTCGGCTACAACTCCGCGTGAATGCGGGATGCTGGCATTTGTCGAATTCAAGGTGGCATCTTTTCAATTAGGGAGTGAAATACCTTTTCAGCCTCTCGAGTGGCCCGGCAAACTAGAGCCAAAGGGGGCCCTGGCGGTATAATGATGCCTGGCACAATAGTACCACTGTTTCCCCCGACCGGTTCCCAGGAAACCACACAACATGTGCCATTGTGCGGAGTGCTTTGCTGCCCGGCCACGTTACCCAGCTTTACCCTGACAAACCAAGAGGCCTGCCCGTTCGGTGGAGCTCAACATAATGTGGCTGGTTAGGTTCAGGAGACTGGTAGGTGAAAACCAGGGGGTTTTCACCTCTCTTTGTATTTTATGTGTTAAAAAAATTAAAAGAGCACCTTTATAGGYTGAAAAGCGGAAGTGCCCTCGAAGGAACAAGGAGTGCTGAGTTATTGCCAGGGATTGTTGTARCGTACACCCTGATCTTTGAGGCGATGCTGAACCTCCTCCGTAAAAGAGGAAACTAGACGAAAAGTGACAAGCAGATAAATGGAGGCACAAAACAATTGGAACTGGTTTGTAGCTGGTCCTGGCTGGTTCTTCTCCTTTTATCTCAATGYTGGGAGTTCAACCATTTGTGTGTGTCACCCCCCACCTCCTTTACAGATCCCAACATGGTCACCATTATAGCTGCTGTTTATGCAGCAGAGGAAAAAAAATATTTAGGACTGGCCAGAATGGGGGATTGGGGTGGGGAGGGGGGGGGGTAGAAGGGTGGAATTTAGTCAACAACATCTAGGAGACACATGTCAAAGGGACCCTTCTGGGCCTCACAAGCCAGCTGGTCAGCTAATGCAGCACAACAGGATACCCAGGAAGTGAAGGCCTGATGCAAAGCCCAGTGTTACATGGCAAAGGCTCTGTTTTCCTCTAAGGGTAGACCTGTCACTTTACATGGCAATTATTCACGGGGTTTGCCAAAACAGCTATTCACTGTTAATTCGAGATTTTGGGTGGGAGTTTACTGTTTACAGGCTACACAAGAAAAAGTGTTTTAATCTGACAAGTCACCCTAATCCCATTTTATTTACACTTCCTCGGTGACTGCATGAATTGGTTGTTCTTGTGAACTGCAGTTTCTTTTTTGCTTTTAAAATGGCACTTTTTTTTTTTACATTTTGCATACTTTTTAAAAAGACCAGATCTAATCATTCAGTTTGTTTTTAGTGGTCTTTTGTGTCCAAGTTAAATGATCAACAGTTGTATAATCTCTACACTATCTGCACTGGATGACATMAAACACAGTAGAGCTGAGGTGACTGTTTCCTGCTGTCCACAACTGCTCTTAGATTTAAACTGTACAAAGTCCTCATCTTTACATGGTGCCTGATCCTGGTCATTTTCTACCATGCTCTAAAAACTACTGTCAGTTTAGAAATTTCAGTGATTTTTAGTGTACTGTCTTATTCTTATTTAACATAACATCTTTTAAATACAGAGTTTTGGCCAAAACCTAAATCTTTTCATATTGAATGGTGAATATTACTATTAATTATCCCACAGCTAATGCTAATTTCCTGTATTTTTCCCCCACAGATTAAATCCTCAGTGACAGAGCACTTTACGACACATTTCCACAAACTCGAGCTTCTACACATTTCAGTAGAGAAACCATCWCTGACCTGAGCAGATATGAGTGAAGACAAACCAGGTGCAACTGTGGAAACTTCTCCAGCCGAGGTGAATGCCATTCCTAACGGTAAAGGCCAYGAACCTGGGGAGGACATCGCAGCTTCAGCTAGAACACCCCCTGCAGAGGACTGTGAAAAGTGAGCACCCAACATCCTTACAGTTCATTATCCTTAGTTATCTGCTTTATTTATCAGAATTATAGTTCATCCTGAATTAAATGAATAATAATATTTAATTATATATAATTTTATTTAATTTTATTATAGTGTGTTCACAGTATACCCAGAAGTTAGACTTCATGTTTTTATAAAGTGAAAAATCAGCTAAAAACGCCCTTCAAACTTGGAATTTTGACTTTGAATTGAAAGATTTGTGACCATCAATAATATGGCTGACTCACTTATAAAGAGTGGCGACAGCTCAAACTGACTTCTGAATAAAACACTAAACCGTATGAAGCACAACAAGGGCGTAGAAAACCTAAAACTCAACAACTGTTAAAGTGCCCTCAGACAAGACCTGCCCACATGCTGTAGTGGAATATGTGTTGGATAATGGAGTCAGCTGAGTACCCAATTATCATGTCAAGTTGCTCAGCACTTTTTTTCCAGCATGTTCTGTCTGAGTGATAAATGGTTTAATTACCATGTCCACAGTACACTTCACGATTTATAGATGCTTCTTCGTGTTGCTCCTATTATTTTATGACAATGGGTGTTGTTTCTCCACTTCTCTCTACTTCTCTCTCCTCTCTCTACACTATGTGTAGGCAAACATTAACCAATAATGACAAGAATGCTAGGTATGTATGGAGTCATAATGAGGATAGAATGTGTTGTGGTTTGCATGAAAAATAACAGATTGTTTTTCAAAGAAATGGTTCTTTCTTTTATTTTAAGAAAAGATAGTGTTTTTCTAGATGAGTGGATTCGAGACGTGTCATATTCTGACAAAAKTGTTTATCTCTCTATTAGTCCTCACAAAAAGGAAAATATGGAATCGAACCTCCCAGACAGCCAGGAGTTCTTATCACGTGGGGAGGACAAGAAGACAACGCGCTTTACAGATGTGAGTTTACGCACAGCACAACTGTGCAGAAGTTTAAACCAGCTCTTATCTTCTTCTTCCACAAAGGCAGACTTTCTTGTATTTTTTTTAATCTATGTTAAATAATAATAATAATAATAATAATAATAATAATAATAATAATAATAATAATAATAATAATAATAATAATAATAAGGAAACAAGAAAAAAAAACTGAAACAGAACCTGAAAATGCAGCATCCTTTAGTTAATCTTCGACTACAGGTCAAATTTTCAGCTTTTTCTAAATGTTCTTTAGGAATCACTTTTGCACTATTTTAGGTAAGACTGTGTTTTCTTTGATGTTTACATGTAGCTAAATAAATTAGAACAAATTTAACCCTTGTGACAGGCTACATACGCCAAACAAACTACCTAGGTTAACTATATCTACTTTACCTCATTTTAAAGTCTGATTCTATACCAAATGAAAGTCTTTTCCACAATATGCCTGAATAAAAATGACTCYGCCTCTAATTCTCTGCTCTATTTCACTGGTTGCAGTTTGAAGGAAAAACCTCGTTTGGGATGTCTGTCTTCAACCTGGGCAATGCAATCATGGGAAGTGGAATTCTGGGACTGGCCTATGCCATGGCCAACACAGGAGTCATCCTGTTCCTGTAAGTCACTCATTACTAATGATGCATTAAAACCTGTGTGATTGCAGATTAGAAGCTCTCACTCAATTACAGCTCCCAGATTTRTGATTTCATTCAAAACCTCCAGGGCTTTTTCTAAGTGCATGTGTGTGACAGACATAAATAACACCTAATAGTTTTTTACTTATTGTTTCGAGTTAAATCAGCAGCAGTCCATTTTTAATAATACAGAAACTGATGAGGCCTGGTGCGTTGGAAGGATAAATACTTATATTAAGAACAGTTTGAAATCATTTATTGGTGCCACAAACAAACATAATTAGAATCATAGGTGCGGAAAATGACTGCATTATTTTGGTGTGATTGATTCTCTGCCTTCAGGCACTCGTGTTGTGCATTATATATGAGCAATATAACCTTTAAGGTCTTCATAGCAGCCTGGTATGGCAGAATCATCTGTTGATTTATTTGGCCTTTCGGTAACATACCCTGAAGTCAGCATCTTTCAGCTGTTTTTTGTTGGTTTTTATCGTATTTGTTGACTACAAGAAAACCAAAATGGTTAAATGCAAACTGCTTTTTTCAGAATTTGCCAAATAAATCTTCTCACTGACAAACTTATAGGCTTAGCTTTGACTCATAAATCCTCACTGAAATGCAAGAAGTTGTTTTAATGATTTATGCTGACAGGATTCTGCAGGAACACACTGGTGCTCTGCGAAAGCCAGTTGTAGAAAGTCAGGAAATAGAGTGATTATGTGTGTCTGGTAGCAAAGTATCTCATAAATCCCTGGACAGATTTGAATGAAACTCTCAAATGTTATTAACTGGATGAACATCTACAACTAATTTACTTTTAGAGTCAACCCAAGATGGCTGCTAAAGTTTATAAAGTCAACAAATAGAAAATGGTTATAATACAATATAATAATTGATGTGCATTATGGGAGATGTAATTTATGGTCAATGCTGGCTTTAAGGCAGCTTAAGAATACATCATTGAAGCTCTAGTGAGCCAAATGTTGCCTGCGGCCTTGAGTTTGACATGTGCTCCAAGCGCTAACAAATCTCAGGTTATCTTGCAAAATCACATGTGCATTACATTATTTTCAAGATTTATTCAAAAAGACTAAAACTCCTTCACTTTTCAAGATCTTGATTTAAATATTATTTTCAATTTTAGCTTAAATCATTTAGACAGTTGGTTCGGCTCACTTGTTGCCTCTCTGCAATAAGGTTGCTGGATCAAATCCTGGCCCGGTGACCTTTCTGGGTAGAGTTTGTATGTTCTCTCTGTGCATGCATAGGTTCTCTCTGGGTACTCCGGCTTCCTCCCACAGACCAAAAACATGACTGTTAGGTTAACTGCCCCTCACACAGTGACTGTTGGATATGGGCACCTGTGAGCCTGAAAGGAAGAAGTGGGTATAGATAATGGATGGATGGATATTTCTGTAAAAAATCTCTTGACTTGTAGTTTTGTTAAAAACTAAATATCCTTTTTTCTTTCACTCCAGTAGTAGCTTAGAAACAAAGTACAACACATACATTTTTGTGTTGATCAAGATTTAAGTCAGCTTACAAGAAGAAAATATATTATAATGTTAAATAAAAGCCTTCAAATGTTTCATAAGCATTGTATCTGACCTATTCTTTAAGGGTTGAGAGGATTTTTCCCTCGTGATAAAAAAAGCTCCTTATTTTGATCTGAATTTTGTGGCTGTGTGTGTTTTATGCTAGTTATGTTTGCTGTTTGAACTGACCGAACTCGAACAGCCGCGTTTGTGTCACTGGGTTAAACGGGAGCTAAAATTAATCCCAAAGTCAGCCGGTCCACACCATTTATTCATGCAATCACTTGTTAATTGGTAGTACGTGACTGCGTGCACCTGCCCCATCCTGTCGCAGATAAAAGGCTGCAGCTTTGTGTGTTTATATCTGATCTTGTAATGAACAATAGAGCAAAGCAGCTGAGGAACAGGCAGGGTTGAAAGCTGGCTAATACCGGCTAATTTTCTGTGACTTCAGGCTTGTGATCATCTCACTCTTTTTTTTTTAATCTTCTCCAGCATGCTGAATCATTCTGARCCCCGGGCTCTTTTCATAACAGAGACATGGGAACAAAATACACAAGTGAATGAATAAGTAAATAAGTCAGACATGTTGCACAGGGAGAAAGGCGAAGACCACGTAAATACTGCTGGTACAATGAACATGTTGCTCAAAGTTTTCATGAAAAAGATTATTTTTTTCCCCTCGTCGCTGAATAAAATTTTGTTAGCTTTAAAGTCTGAAGAAAAACTTTGCTGAGCCATTTCAGGGATCTCACTGATTTGAGACACTCCACATTTCCAGTTGAAAAAACCTAAGCACATTTTCAGATTTCTGCCTCTTAAGCCACATTTTGATACCTGGATCATCCTGATATCATGAGCAGTTCCAGAGACATGGCTTGATTTGTCTTCCTAATCAGGATAACCCACTGATATTTGCTCTGAATCCCATTTTTAAGTTATTCCAATGAGGAATTTTTGACGTTATTATAAAGAGGAAACCTCAAATGGTGTTGAAATAGTGAGAATTCCCAGCTGGAAAGAAAACTAGCTTTGCTAGCTTGCAGGGAAAATGACAACATATCAATGKTTTTTGGCTCAAAATTGTGTTTTCTGTACTGCTCAAGTGCTAAATTTTAGCAAAATTAAGACTATATTTCAGACAGTTMATTTAAATGACCTGTAGATACGGTATTTTCATTTTGTTTTGACAAAAGCAATTATTGCAACCATTTTAATCAGTGCAGTATTTCTCCACATACCACTTTGAGACTTAATCCTCAGTTCGATGTGACGGGCCTCATTTATTTACAAGTTAATATTTAGACCTACTGACTTATAATTTACACGAGATGTCAAGTGAATTGTAGCTTTCAGACTTCTTCTAACAGTGTACATAAAGATAAATTATAGTTATGGCAGCTTCTGGTAAAAGCCTCTTTAAAATTTAACAATTAAAATCAATGAATATCTTGGGAAAAACATTGGTATACTATGGAGGCAATAAAATCAAACAAAAAAAAAATACTTGATTAGTAAGTCCTTTTGTTTCATTTTGGCCCATGGCGTGATGCTTCATATCCCTCAGATGTTCTCGTGGGTGCAGGTCAGAGTGTTGGCGATCCTGGTCTGGGTGGGAATGCCGTAGGGTGGAATTCCACCAGAGCAGAGCAACAGTCACCCAAGTGTCAGCCTGTCTGACTTCAGCAGATCTGTCTTCCCACTGCCACTTGACTGATTGAGTCCTCAACCGCAAGTCAGCTCAGCACTCCTCCACAGAGTCTGTAAGAAAAGAAAAAAAACCTGCTAACCAGCCAAGAAGGTGAAAGACAAGCTGCTGAGCTTTTGATAAAGGGAAAGAAGGATTGAGAGAGTGTTTGTGTAAGAGCAAAAGTTAATGTTGCCAATGGTGACAACAAAAGAYGAAACGATAAATGTTGGAATGAGGTGGACTGGGTCAGAAAACGTCAGGGGATTCATTCATGACAGAGAATTTATCCCAGCAGTAAAATGCTGAAAAAAAAAATTCTTAAAATTGCTTCACAAACATTTTGTTCAAAAATATAAAACAATGTGGCCGGCTCAGATTTGAACCAGTACTTTATTACATCCACACAAACATATACAAAAAAATTTGTGTTTGTAGAATCACAAAATGTGCATGCTTTCCTAATATCCTGCCACCCTACAATAAATCAATAAACACATTTTTTTTAACTGCTCATGAGTTGTTTGTGTGTCAGCTGCTGTGATTGGGAGGGGGGCTCACAGGGCAACCTCTGTGGCTCAGCTGGACCAGCCGGGCTTTTACAAAGCAGTCTACACGCTAAAAAACAATTTACCACAGCTGTAAAAACAGCCTAAAGAGTGCTGTATGGTGCAAGAATGTATTTCAGAAAACAAAAYGTATTATTGTTGTTGAAAACAAAAAGACACTAAGGTTTGTCTTTTCTTTTCTTTGTTTCAGGCTACTCCTGACAGCAGTGGCAGTTCTTTCATCATATTCCATCCATTTACTTCTAAAATCATCTGGGATTGTTGGTATGTAAGCTGCTGAACAATCTGCCTCTTCTGATAAACAGAGATTATACTTTATTATCAGATTATTGTGAAACATGTTAAAGTTCCGCCTACACTCTGACCTGAAACKTATCACTAACATGATTACATTTAGAATTTCTTCTTAGCCTGTCAATATCAGCAGAGGTACCCAAAGTGGGGCCCGTGGGCCAAAGTTGGCCTGCCAAGCCATTTGACTGGCCCACCAGCAGTTGGCCCATTAGTTTTCTCTCATGGTGCTTACTTTGTCTTATTATATTAGGATTAAACACAAAATACAAGTAACTACAAAAGACATTTAGACTAGATAAAATACTTTAAAATGATTTGCATTTCATGTATTACATTACTGCATTTGGCCCGCAGCCCTCGGATAGATTTTCATTTCGGCCCTTTTGGGAAAAATGTTAAGGCGCCCATGATTCAGATACAGCACATGATTTATATTCTGGTTTTGATGCTTGTGCCTCAGGGATCCGTGCATATGAGCAGCTTGGCTACAGAGCTTTTGGGACCCCGGGGAAGATGGCGGCAGGTATTGCCATCACACTGCAGAATATTGGAGGTGAGGATATTCATCAACACAACTTTCCTTCTCATGTACATACGATTTAATTTATTTTATTAATTCATTTATTTACTTTCTTTAATTTTCTGCTGACAATGCTTCTTGGCAGTGAATCTTATATCATTGAAAAGACTGTCAATTTCTCTTTTAAATGGTGCCACATTTGTAAGGAACATGCGTTTGTGGGATGAGCAGTAGAGCTGAGTATGTGGGTTGCGCATATGAAAAAAAATGGCCAAATATTCTCTGCCAAACAGATTATTTTGCTGCTATTGACACTTATTTTGAGCTGGTTCCTCCAGGTGCTGCCAATGAGGTGCCCAATATAAGATTTATTGCCAAGAAGCATTGTTACAAAAAAAGTAATCTACCAATCACTTTTTGTGCTAAGTACAGATGTGTGTTCTTATGAGTGCGAGAAAGTTTTTATTTTATTTTAAATAAATATATTTTATGTCTCTGCTCCACAGCGATGTCCAGTTATCTGTACATAGTCAAATATGAGTTTCCTTTGGTCATCCAAGCTTTTCTGAAGGTGGATAACCCTGCAGGGTGAGTGACGACCAAAATATATAAAATGTGCAGTTCTGACTTCTCATAGAATAAAACGAGTCAATTAAAAATGATCTTTTAATGCTAGACAAAGGAAATGCATCATCCCATCACTTCCTTTTTGTTTGTCACTTCAGTAGAAAAAATAACTGGATATTAGTTTCCTAATTTCTTCATCAACCGTGACTTTTTTTTCACTTCCTGGTTTCAACCTCACACAGTCGTGATTCGTGCATGTTCCAAGGTTTTGAAGTGTGTGTTGAAGAACCCTGTCATGTTGTGCCAGTTGTGGGGCCTGGGCCAACACTGGATGTTGAGAACAGCTGGTATGAGAGCAGCTGCGTCAGTGACCCCAGAGAAACAGAGCGACACGGCCACTGAGAGCAGTCGCATCAAAACAGCAAAACAGACCACAGCTGAAAATGTAAACCAGAGGGGATTAGTGAAAGTGGCCTTTGAGACAAACCAGGCTCATGTTCTTCAATAAAATTCTTAGAAAACTTACCACAGAAAAATTAATTCTTCTTTTAATTTGTTTGTTTTTATGAATGATTGTGGAGTAAAACGTACAAAGATGCTACAGGGAGTAAAAATGTTTGGGCTGACGAGACATGCTGGTATAGAAGCGATAGATAGTGACAACACACACACACACACACACACACACACACACACACACACACACACACACACACACACACA